AGTGAAATCATCCAGAAAATGTGGCTGAGCCAAGAAAACATCATTCCAGATGATTCTGTGCTTCTGGGAGAACCACAAGAGACCACTTCAAAGCCAAGAGACCTTAGGAGAATGTGTTTTAAAACTTCATGCAGGCCAGGAATTAAGAGGGAAGTTTGTTGACTTATGTGGCATTTGCCAAGACAGGGCATCTTGGAAAAGTGTGTGAATTCAGGGTATAGGGTGTTTACCATTAGTTATTGGATTCTCAGTATAATGAGGCAGAGACATAAATCAAGAGGTTGAATCAGCTCAAAGTGATAGCGATAAAAATCCCAGCTAGATACCGATGTATTAGCTAAAGGCATAGACTTAATCCAGGGGGGCTGTGGGAATGCTGGGGAGATGGAGAGGAGAGTCATCAATATGGTAGCAAGACCCTTCTAAAACCTCAAGAGGATCACCTTTCTCCTCCCTGCAGGTTCCAAAGCTCTGAAGCTTCTGCTCAAGTGAATTATATGTTGTCAGCTCTGTAGAGAGTGACCAAAATTTCCACCTGAGTAAAGCTCCAGAAGGTGTAAAATCTTCTTGTGGAGAACAGCCACATCCCGTGCACATTTCTCCTGGCGGAGAGGCTGTGTGAAAAGAACCCCTCCACCCAAAACAAGGAAACGAAGGGGCTGACACGGCTGCGCGTGGCCTGTGACACTGATCAATAAACGGCTCCAGGCCTTATCTTACACCTCCAATGCACATAGTTTCATATCATCAATCAGTTTACAAATCATGAATCTGACCCAAAAGGACAGCAAGAAAAAGATTACACTTGAGTTCAGGTCTCCACCATGGTGCTAATTCAAGTTAGTGTCTCTAGTTTGGAAACGTTGCAGTAATTTGTTTTTACTCTAAGTTTTTTCTTTTCAAGTTGCTTTCATATCCGTTAGCCCATTTACTTCTCACACCTCTATGCAGCATCATTATCTTCAGTTTTCAGAAAAGGAAATCAAGACCCAGAGAAGTTAAGCTACTTGTTCAGGGCCACACAGTGAATAAATTGAATAACTAGTCAAGGTCAAAATCTAAATCTGCTGCCTGTCAACGAAGCACCCTTTCCTGTTACACTACCCAGGCTTCCCAAGGGGACCTGGGAATGGAGAACAGAGCTTTCTCTGCCTGCTTTATGTTCTGACAGTTGCTAAAAACATGTGATCCTTCTGTCCTGCCCTGACATACAACAAATGGCATCAGCTGGTTTGATAAAGTGAGACCTTTCTCCCTTCATGCTCACTCCGGCACCAAGTTGATGGATGCCTGGAGATGCAGAGCACGTAAGTCTAGAGCCCCCATCCCCAAGTTGTCGCTGATCACAGGGCAAGTTAATTAAACCTGGATTATTTAATGATAGTTAATAAGATAAACCTCCTCCCAGAAGCCAGCAGGAGCTAAGACTGTTGTCTCTTAACTATTACTAGGGAGCTGATGAGGCACTTTCTGCCACCAGAGAGAGGGTCTTTAAGGCTCTTAACAGTAGTAAGTATATACATTTCCCTGGAAAGGGGATGACGTAAACGTAAGATTTCTAAAAACAAGTTAACCCCTCAGCATCCTTTTAAAGCATTCTGGATTTTATGTTGCTCGAAAACTTAGGGCTTTGGCTGGAAAGAGCATCATTATCCCAGGAAAGTATCCCAGGATCCAGACCTGGGTACGTCTGAGGCAAGGGACACACGACATTGTTCAAGGTTGGAGTACAAAGGTCAAGTCCCTCTGACAATGTATATTTCAGAAAGGACCTAACTTCTTATGATAGTTGATGGAGAGGGAAGAACTACAGTGTTGCATATGGGAGCATTTAGTTTTGGGAAACTTGTTTTTCAGTAACTAGAATTCTTTCTCTACTCAGAATAGACTGTGGTTGGTGCACATGCTCACGTCTGTCCCCAGCTAAGGAGGCCGTTACATTTACACTGACTCCAGACTCTAATCTGCCTTCATGCTTCCTTGAGCCACAAGAGAGCGGGCTGTGAGCAGAGCGAACTGACAGCAGCAGTTGGAGTCCAAATGTTTATGGCTACTCCTGTCCCGGACTGGGCCTGGGGAGAAGGCCCCTCAGGATTTTTAAAGCATCAAGAGACAGATCCCTTGCCAAGAACTGTCCCTTTTACCTTAAAAAACGTATTAAAAATAAAAAGAAAGAAAAATAACCTATCAAAGTCAATGGCTGCTAGAATGAATAGAAATATACATTCTTTTATATCTAGTATTTATATTAATATTAATTTTAGAATGCCCTTACTATAAAGTTATGTAAGTGTAGTTTTTGTGTATCCTCTAGCTAGAGTTTTCACAATGGGGACTGGATCTAACATGATCCATTAATTTAATGGATTTAATTATATGAGTTCTATGGTTATGACATAAGGAAAGAAGAAGAAGAAGATCTGTGAGTTTGAACTCCAGGTGCTGGTCTAAGTGGCTTTGTGCTTTAACCCAATCTAAAAGCTATGAGTGATAAAGCGAGAGGCCCTGTGCTAATTACCAGGGCAGGACTGATGGTAAAAGAAAGGACCAAAATGTGAATTAAAGGTAGACGTACTCAAATGCTGGATTCATTCTGAAATACAGTGTTTTATTATGTACATTTATAGCTGGTTTTTCAAAAAATGTTACCATAATTCCTACAGAAGAAAATAGCTTTGCTATTTCTTTGCTATTATTTAGCCCTCTTTTCCCCTTTGAAACAGCGGCTTTTAAACTGAATTTTTGATAAGGCAAGGTTCCTTAGCAATGTAGCATTGCATTGGAGCAGAAAAGACTATGAATGCAGTATATATAGCTGTAGCTCAGAAACATAGAAATTTATAGAAAGGGTATCCTTAGGCTGGCTAAAACAGGACATGGAAAAAGGCATGTCCGTGGAAATGGAAAGTAACAGATTTCTTAAATATATAAACTGCTGTTTCTATGTCTAATTGGAAGGTAAGGCCCAGGAAGGTAACAGAGTTACATCTGTTTGATGAAATGTGTTTTGTAATTCATTTATGCACGTTGCTCCCTCCATGTGCCTGAGGCTAGCATTGGGCTCAGTTTGCATTTTTGAGCATGTACTAACTAGTCAGCAGTTAGGGCAACCTAGCAGTGTACAGGCCATCAGAAACTGAAATGAAGCCACTCATGGAGACAGCAAAGAGTCAGCTGGTCGAGTTGTGAACTTAGCATGAATAAACATTAACACATGCATGCAGTTAAGCCACTAACTATGGTTGGTTCATTCCCATGAAAACTCAGTTCCATGTTACTCAAAGGATCTCATCTTTCAAGCCTGAGTTTAAAATTCTCCCTTCCCTTGCGAGGACTTCTGACACTCTGTCAGGAAATGCAATCGTTCCTTCTCTGATACTTCCATTGCACTCACATATCTGTAGCAAAACAGCTATCTTATTGAATTGTAATCATGTGTTTTCATTTTGTTTCCTGAGGGGAGGAAAAGGCGAGATCATTTCCTTTCATCTTTATATGCCCAGACCTATCACCTCATTGGCCCTAAATAATTATTTGTTGAAGAATGCACCAAAAGTTATTTAAAAACTGATTATCAAAAGCCTCTTGAAACAGGTCATAAGGTAGTTGAACAGCTGTTTTAAGTTCCGTAAATACATGGCAGGAATAAAGATTTCTTGGGATGAAAATACGAGGATGTATTTCGGGGCACTTAGGTCTTTTAGAACCATTTGTAGAGATCATTCCAAATTTTCAGTTAAAAATCCCTTCATCTTCTAAGACTTGTAAGCTGGATCATTGCCAAGAGTATCTTTTATGGCTGGGCTCTAAACCAGTGGAAAATAGGATTTTTGAATTCTGAGTTTGCTGGTGCTACTTATATTGCTCCTCTCGAGGATTACAGTTCTTAAAATGTTTATATGTGGTTAGCATTAAATTTCTGCTTTCTCCCAGACAAAGAAATGACTGTATAATGGGACAATATGCTTAATGACGAGGAAAGAGTTAGAGGGAAAGGATGTGATAATGGGCCAGAGCTTACCAAGGAACAAAGCTGCTGATGTCTGGCATGTTCTCGATTCACAGAGAAGAGGCGCTCCTTTAGGCCACTGCTAACCCAGTTGTGGATTATTTTTAATTTGTGTCTCCTTTTCTATAGACCTTTTATCACTTAAATTCTTACCAGGATGAAAGTGGCCTAATGACATCTGAAATACCCAAGACCTTTGAAAAGTGCACTTCCTTCAGTGGACCCATATTTGCCATCACCACAGTTGTGAAATAACTCACTTGGGTCCTGAATTCTGCCTTAGTCAGTTAATCTGCTTTCCAGGATTTCCCTTCTGAGGGATTAACCTTTCATCTTACTGTGTTGTGAACATCGAACAGGTAGAAAGGAAGCCTTTCTTCGCCAAGGATAATTCTACTATTTTTGATAGCTGGTCGGGCACATTTACAGCTAATCAATAAAACAGCATGTGCTGAAGGGATTAGGAAACAATTGTGCTTTCACAATTTAGAATCCGTCTGACTTTTCTTTAGAAAAGTCTATTTCTTCCTCCTCTGAAATCAACAGCTATCATCTTCTGAAGTCTACCCCTAAGTTTTTCAGGGCAGGAGAGGGGTGTAGAAGAAATCTAGACTCAAGTGATGTATCCAGATGGCCACCAATATGCAGGAACCCCACTCCAGTGAATATACCAGAGCCCATGTACTGTGATCTTTTTTCAACTGAAGTTGGACCAGTCGCAACCTTAGCATATATTAGCCTAAAAGGAGGAACTCCATTTACTCTTTGCACCTAACCTACTTCAGTCTGGCAGCGAAATTTTGGCAGAGGCAGGGGCCTTTGACGGGCACCCATGCCAGGTGAAGCCCATTCAGGTGCCCCTGTTTCTGGGCAGCCTCTTTGTCTCTCAACTAAGAGCCTGTAGAGCCCAGCTCTTGAACCAATCCTGTGCTCCCTGGAGTGTAGGGTAATTCACTTTGTACTGATGATGCATATTCCCCCTTTGTCACAGGTGGACTGTGCCCGGGGTCCAACGATCCTTGCGTGGAGAAGCCGTGTCCAGGGGACATGCAGTGTGTTGGTTACGAAGCCAGCAGGAGACCGTTCCTCTGCCAGTGTCCACCAGGGAAGCTCGGGGAGTGCTCAGGTGCAGAGTGGGGTGGAATGACGAGGGTCTAATTTTGTATTCCTGAAGCACTTGCCCTTGAGTAAGTTACACTGCCCAAACCCTTCCAGAAGACATTTCTGTCCACATGTAACATTTTCCTTTAGAATAAACCATAGCTAACATCCACCCTCAAATACTTGGGATTTGTCACAGCTGCAGCCTGTGCTAGGAAACGTGTAATGACTGTGGACTCCATATATAATGGGGAGGCCGCAACATGTGTTTTCAGTCATGTTGCATGGATGTTAAGGGAGTGAAGTTATGGAAAATTGAAGGCTGTTAGTTAAGCAAAGGAGTCAGAGTATCTACAGGACGGGCTTTGATGTTTAGAGGGCTGCACAGATCATAGCCACAAAACAGAGATCAACAGAAGGTCGAGCTAAGCCAGTCCAGTTGACCTTCCTTAGGATAAGCCAGCCTAGAGCACCAAGTAAGCAGACTCTGCACTGGAAATGGGTAACTAACTGCATGTTCCCGAAAGGAGAGGTGCTCACCTTTGTGTCTTAAAGAAAGAAAAGAAAAGAAAAAAATCAGTATTTATGTTTTTCCAATCTAAATGACTGTCTGTTTCCGATCTTCACTCAATTTCAGTACTTGATTTGATTCACATATTCTCTTCCACTTCTTTCCTCTAAAAAGAGTATTGTTCATTTTTGGTACTGATAGACCCTCTTTTTGCTAGAGGGTGCATTTAACATACAGACACACTGATACCAATTTTGGAATCCAAGAAATATTTATTGAGTGATGATTATAATAGTAATTGTAGTGGGAATAAAAAAGAATTATGCCTAGTATGTACAAAGTACTTTGTTAAGCATTGGATTCTAGAAATTCAGCCTTTGCAAAGAGAAGCCCTATTCTTAAAAATGGAAGCCAAAACACTTTCATGGTTGACTTCAAGATCGGAGCTGCCCATGAACTAAAGGGATCACCAGCATACTTGCCTTTGAAATCATCTAAGGTTTAGACTTAAAAGATACTTACGCTGTCCCCACCCCGACACACACGCTGTGCACACAGCAGCTAGATATGTAGGGTGACAATAAAGCCAAGTCTCCTAACTTCAGATGTCATTTTTTGCCCATCTCCCTTCTCCCTTCTGTATAGAAAACTCTTGATTGTCAGGGATTATCAACCATTTGGTATATTTCCACACTATCCACCTTTCACCTCAGTGAGACAGCTTTTCAGCCATTACTTTGCTTGTTAAAAAACATAAAGTTGGAGGCAGTAAAAAAAGGATGAACTCAGAATTGGGTGATGTGGGTAGGACTAAAGATTCTGGGAAGGGGAACCTTGAAATTAATGGTCAGAAGGTAGAACTGTGACTACACATGACATAAACTTCCTTTATATCAGTTACCTTTTCTCAACCTTAGTACCAATGACATAGGTTGACTATTTGGCATTAGGATACTTGGAGAATATGGATATTCTTTGAAATGGTTTGTCTTTTCTCTGTGTCATGGAATTGAAAGTTTTTGACTGCCTAAGTGACGGGTGGGCATGACTGGGTATCAGTGCTAATTTTAGAAAGTGCGAATTGGGAATTTAGTGACACTAAGAAAATTCAGGTTGTAGAATTTACCAAGTTGCCCTTGGCATGAGATAACTAAGAGTTTTGGGCATCCAACTACTTAATATTTTTTTTCACTTTGAAATTAGATTGTGATGAAATAGAGAACCAGTTTTTAATCAAAACTGGTTTCTCCTCAACGCCTTCATTAACTTCCCATGGTCTTTAATCAACTTGCTTGGTAGTTTTGGGTTGATTTCATGTGTCTCTGCTCATTTCTGGTTGTTAAAAGTATATATGTCTTCTCCTAATGTTCTTTTCAGGGCATACATCTCTCAGCTTTGCCGGAAACAGTTACATCAAATACCGGCTTTCTGAAAATAGCAAAGAAGAGGACTTTAAGCTAGCTCTGCGTCTGCGAACCCTGCAAAGCAATGGGATTATAATGTACACCAGAGCAAATCCCTGCATAATTCTGAAGGTAATTAAAATGGGTTATCTTTTCCTGCAGTCAGTTCTCATGTTAGTATTTTGGCTCTTGGATTGAGGACTGCTGAAATCATTTTGTCTTTTAAGTTCACAAGACCAGAAGCCAACTTTAGGGCAGAGGGGAACAGCAGCAGAGCTGGGAAGTGTGCCAACGCCCCATTTCCTTTTGTACATTCAGCTTCAAGATTGGCTCTGTGCGGACTGGGGCATCTCTCTGTAGAGTGGGTTCAAGGGCTGGCCTCCTTTGAGCTGTAATCACTCAACAGTTCATTAGACTGTATCGCCTAATCAGTTCCACGGCAGGGGTGGTCCTTTAGAAATATTGGCTGTATCCTCTTCTACCACATGGTCTATCCCCACTGACCTCTGAAGGCAACTTCTGTTCTTGCTCAGGGAGGAAGTTGGAGATGTGGGGTATAGAAGATTCCATATATCCTATCGTGACCCAAGTAGCCCAATTTTTTAAATAATTCCCAGCCTCAGAAACCCTCCAAAGGCAGCCAGATTTCCTTTAGGGCAAGTCTGGCATTTGTATTCAGCTCAGAGCTTCTGGTGCCTTCATCAAAACAACAACAGTAATACTAAAAGCTTTATGTGCATCATTTGATTCTTATTATGAAGTTAATATAATAAATTTGTTCTATATGATCATCTCCATTTGATCAAGGAGAGGATAGACATTCAGAGAGGTTAAGTTATTTACCCAAGGTTGTACAGCTAATGAGTGTCAAGGCCTGGACCTGTACTCTAATCTCTCTCACTCTGTGCTCTTAATATCCATGCTCTCCGTGGCTCTCAGTGTTGCCACTACAATTCATTTGATCAATAATCATGTTCTGGTATCTGTATTCCAGTGTGGAAAGGAGAAGGGAGAAGAAGGAGGGAGACATGTTTGATCTGATGCTATTCTCACCAGGTCACTATACCAGCCCATTGTCAGTGCATTTAGAGACATGTGGAGTCTGTCCAGTAGGAAATGTGCATCGAAGTGGAAATGGCTGGCAATTTTGTTCCTTCCTAGGGTTCTATCACTAGGCTTAACTGGGATCATGGTGAGCTTTTCTAGCTTCTGTCTTTAGATTATTTGTTAGGTCACATCCAAGTTAATTAGGTGGCCCAGGCTTTAATCCTGCAGGGAGGAAAGTATGTATGACATTAAATGCCAGTGGCTCTCCTATCACATAGACTTTTACTTACCTGCTTCTGGTATCACCAGGTATTACTTGGTGGTCAGAGTGAGTAAGCAGGAAGTTGGAGTTTAAAAGTTGGCTACTTTTGTGGGGAATCTCACACTATCCTTACCCATTCAACTCAGATAATTTCAGTTCTGGAAAGGAAAGCAGTGTTCTTAAAAGAAAACAGAAGAAGCACTGTGGATGTGCAATTTTAGAGAATAATGAATTCAAATCAGATATTCATGGTGGAAGAAGAAAAATTCAAAAACCTAAGTCCTGTCTTTATTCCCTCCTGGCTCCTGAAGCAACCTGCCTTGGGTCAGTAGATCACTTTCTAAATAACCCTGAGAGGTGGGGGTTTGTATAAATGCTTGGGAAGTGCTCTGCCCATTTAGAGGTACCAGCTCCTCAGGGCTCTGCGTGGATGTTGCTAACCTTCCTCCTTCCTCCTTCAAGCTCTAACAGGGCTGGGGTTGCAGAACATCCTTATGAGGCAAATACTTTCTATTAGCAAATCTCTTACATAGTGTTAAATTTGAGAGAGAACAAAAATACTGGACCTGAATGGCTTGATCCTAAAATGGAGCTTGTCATTTGACACTTCACTGGCAAATGTCTAAAATGTGCAGATCCCTGGGGATGAGAAAGAAGAATAATTAAATCTTTTAGGCAGCTCTAGCTCCTAAGGTATATTGTATTTCACGAAACAAGCGTGTTTCTGAAAGTTGTGTAAATTGAATCTCTGTAAATGGAATTCTAATAAACTAGGAATGGTTGCTATTTGAAGGAACCCTTCCATTAATCCCTGTGTGATGTGAATAATCGCCCCCAATCTGTCTGTTCTGTAAGTTTGCTTTTCATATGTTGGGTTTGCCCAAAGCAGGACACAGCTGTAGTGAACTATTGCAGATATGTATTCTCCTGCAGTCGCCAGGAATATCCACTTAGGGGATTTGAATCTGTTTGCTTAACGTTTTCAGCCTCATGCAAGATTTAATTTCATTGGCTTTAGGTACAGTATGTGCCTTGTACTTTGGTTCAACGACTACACTGAAATGCTTTGTTTAAATTGCACCTCTTGGTTGTTTATATTTTCCCAGTTAGAACACATTCTCTAAAAAGTACTTAAGACAATCAATGGGGTGAGGGGCACCCCTTGAAGACAGTTACAGAATTGCACGGAGACCTGAGGAAGTGAAAAGGCACATAGACAAAGAACACTGCTGTCTCTCAGTAGCAATAAAGACACTCATTCTTCTGTTTAACATTGATACGCTGTTTACTTCCAAAAGAGATTCCGGGCTTACCATAAACACTCAAATGCAATAAAATCAAAACAAGTTTAAGCTGAAAACAAAAGGCTAAGAGCCAACCAGTGAAGTGGGGAAGGGCAGAATATCGTCAGTGAAAAATCTAGACTAAGCGTTGCTACTTGAGTTGAACACAAACCATAACTGAGTTTCCTGGCAGCCAAAGCAAGGATGAAAATGGTGGGATAGGTTCTATGGCTCTCCTCAAACCTATAAAAGAAACATGTCAGATCACCAGGAGAGATTTGCCAGACACAAGTAACTTTTTCCCTATGCCAATCTTTCATGTCCAATATTATAGCAAAATCACAAGAAGTTCTTGGTTGTTAATCTAGAAATATCACAAATTTTATCTTTTGGGGAAGTTATAGAAGATACATTACTTCATTTTGATGATTCTCAGACATGGCTAGCTTAGGACCCCAGAGCTGAAAGTAAGGTGGTCAGGGAAAGCTCATTTGGTTTTTAAAACAGCCCACTTGGAATGACCAGATCTTTCTAACATAGATCAGAAGAGTAACACAGAAGCTCCCCACAAGATTCCGGAGTTTCAAGGCTCTGTATGAGTTTCACTGAGAACTGAGTTAACATGTTATAATAATAATAAAATACCTAAAAAGTTAATAAAGTATTTTCATATGCATATATTTTTAATTCTCACTCTCCTGTGCATAGATATGAGTGCCTACTTCTTGCCTGTGAGGAAATTGAGGTTCAGAGAGATTCAGTGACTTGCCAAAGTGATAGCTAGTGGATCTGGGCCTCTGACAGAAGCAAGCAGGTTGGGAGTACTACAGGTATTTACCGAAAGAAGAGACTTGGAAGACTGGGATGATCATTCATTCATTCATTTATTCATTCAAAGTGTATTTTTTGAGCACTTCTTGTGTGCCAGATAGCTATGAATGGCAGCCTTGAAAACAGGTTTTTAAAAAGTTCCCTTTTCAAAGAATATTTAATAACCTCCTTCAAGTTTTATGATTATGGTGCATTTGCTAGAGCCACACCCAAGGATCTAAGCAGTAAGACTTGATGCCATTATTTACACTTTTTTACTCAAAATCCTACTTTTCTAGAAGATGACTCTGATATCATGTCTCCCAAGCCCCAAGCCAATGAAGATCTGGGTTAAAGCATATCACTGATTTCAAACAACTCTAAGGACCTAAATACCTTGTAACATTAGGGCCACACTCTCTGAATTATGTACTTCATTGAACAAATTGCCTACCTGCCCACCCCCTAGCACATCATTTCAGTGTCAGACTTTCCTTACAGTTTCTATTAAATAGAAATCTCAATCTCTATTAAAATAGCTTTCCCTCTGATTTGAGAAACCTTTGTCTTCTTGAAAGAGAGACCCTTTAGGGGCCGGCCTGGTGGCTCAAGCAGTGAAATGCGCACGCTCCGCTTCAGGGGCCGGGGTTTGCAGGTTCAGATCCTGGGCACACACCAACGCACCATTTGACACACTATGCTGTGGCGGCGTCCCATATATAAAGTAGAGGAAGATGGGCACAGATGTTAGTTCAAGGGCAATCTTCCTCAGCAAAAAAGAGGAGGATCGGCATTCGACGTTAGCCCAGGGCTGATCTTCCTCACAAAAAAAAAAAGAGAGAGAGAGACCCTTTAAAACTTGGTAAACTCTATTCTGAAGTCAGAGAAAAACTAAATATGATCACAGCATAATTTTCCAGTATGAGAGGACTCAGATATGAAAGTGTTCTCTTCTCTCCCTGGCATAATATACTTGTGAAATAGCAAAAGATTCACTTTTTGCAAGGTAACTTTTGGCACCATTGTCATCTAAACAAGGCTTATGATTCCAAACTCATTGAATTTTGAAGATGCAAATGATTTTTGTTTTCAAAGGGCTGAGAATCATGTAGGCATCTGGCTTTCTATTATTCAGCAGTGTTGCTCCTGTTTTGTTTTGTTTTGTTTTTTTCTACAGAAAAAAAGGAAACTTAAACATGCTCAGTGTTAGTGGGGGATAACTTGATGTCCCTTAGTTTCAGGATTTTGATGTATGTGAGTACATCAGAGCCACATCAGTTCTCCTGGGTGAGTTTGTAACTTGGTTATTATCCCAAGAGGTAGGAGTTAGGGAGGGAGAGGGGAATGGGCCAAGTAATATATTGATTGAATACATCCTTTTACAAAAACTTAGATGAATTGCACCCTCACCACCAGATTTTCCTTGATAGACTGGGGACCCCACTTTGTAGCCATGGAGCGTAACAGCAGATGAACTGTGCCAGAAGAAGGTAGTCCCCAAAGTCTCATTTGATCATTTTATGACTTACATTGAAATAAAAATATGGATATTATCCAAGAGTTGTCACTGAGCAAGTATTCTGGTATGATTTACAATATCCATTCAGTCCATTTTGTTGAACCAGAAAAATGACAAAGGCAACACCATAGATTACACATGAAAGCTCTCTGAAAAGCAAATAAATATTTGTCTCCAGTCTTTTTACATTCATACATTTGCATTACAGAGTAGAGTATGCATGCGCTAACTGTGTGTGATGTGCTAACCATTCTCTAGTGGATGCAGTCTCCTTGTGAAATAAGCCACAGCAGTTATCTCTGCTCTTCACATAAGGGGTCCCAAACCCAGAGAAGCCAACCAATTCTCCCCAGGTGACCTGGGTGGCATCTGACAAAGCCTGGATTAGATTCCTCATTCCTAAATTCCCAAGGATCTGCCTGTTTTACAGTGCCCCCTGCCTTCCATAGAGCCACAGAGGCAGAGTCCCTAAGAATTAGTTGTCGGTGGAACACACTGAAGCATAGATAGAGAAATACTCCATTTGTGAGAATGAGTGATGCTTTGATAACCCCAAACAGATCTATCATGAGTCAGACACATTTTGGAAAGACTGGTTCAGGCTATTTCTATGAATTCATTTGATATTCACACCTCCTTAGCAATTACTGACCTGGAAGGGCTGTCTTCCCTTCCCTTCTATTTCCCTCCCTCAAGTTCATGTTCTCCGTCCAGGTTTGGGCACAGGACCACAAATGTCAGCAGATCCTAAGTGAAGGCCAGTTCCCATTACACGACTCAGACGCTGGCCTCCTCCACAAGATCCTTTGGCTGGGTCATAGACAAAGGAAAGAAGAGCAGCTTTTGTTTCACAGTTTCTGGCTATGAAGCCCTTCATGGCCCAATATCAATTTGTTGGCTAGACAGGGGTTCAGCCCTCATTCCCTGGATCCTCAAGCCACCTTGCGTTTCTGAGAAATGTAGATGAAGGTAGCTGGAGGATTCAAAGGCCAGCCTGTCCCCTCAGCAACAGTTGAACCTGGGTCTCCATGGAGGACCAGTCCCTGCCCAACATCTCTCCGCCAGCCAATATGCTTCAGGAACACAGGCTTTCTTCCTAAGTTTAATGTGCCCCTGGGGTTAGGCTCCTGGGGAGAACTTGTATGCCCTCACTGCACCAGTGCAATTAACAGAGCAGGCAGGTCTGCATTGTAGCTGACCTCCATTGTAGGGGCTGAGAGTATCCACCAGTGTGAACAGTTAACCAAAAGATCCTTCTGGAAGTCCAGATGTCATCATTAAATATACAAACATTCTAAGCAAATGGCCAAGGCCTGAGCACTTTGTGAGATAATCTTAACCTAAATGATGAGCAGCGGTCCTAAAGAACTGTTTTAAGAATATGCTAGTGTTTAACATAGGGTTTTAAAATTTTAAATATATATGAAGCTGGGAACTAGGAAATTTTTAATTTCTACCCGGCCTCTTTCTCTCCCCTACAGCACACTCACACTCACTTGGGGAGCATATCTGTATTTGTGTGCTCATTTGATTTATGGCCATCTCTCCCACTAAAACATAAGCCCCATGAGGGCAGACATGATAACTCTTTTTGCTAGGTGTCGCCGTAGCATCTCACACACTGCTTAGCACATAGTAGATGTTCAATAAATTTTGTAAATAAATATTAGTGAGTTCACAGAAATCATTCCTGTGGTGGTAATAACTAAGAAGGGTGCAGAGACCCCTAAACAGACCCCTAAACGAGATATTGCTGAGAATTTTTAAAGAGTGAAGACCCAAAGAATAGGAACATTCTTAAATATAATTGTGGAGTTCTGAAACTGTGCTCATTTTACCAATTACAAGAAGATTTGTGAAATATCAGGCATGCATTTGCATGGCACATAATAGGGAGAGAGAGAAGTTGTTAAAAATCAAACCACAGCCAATTTATGACTGGATCAAAAGCAATGTCCATTCTAGAGCCTTCTTTTGAAGCCCCTAGGCTGGTTGGGAAGAGGGTGTACAGGAATCTATTGCCAGATGCATATTAAAAAGCGCTCTGGTGTTCGTTGCCCGCACAGATTGTGGACGGTAAGCTGTGGTTCCAGTTGGACTGCGGCAGCGGCCCCGGCATCCTGGGCATCTCCGGCCGCGCTGTCAACGACGGGAGCTGGCACTCCGTCTTCCTGGAGCTCAACCGCAATTTCACCAGCCTGTCCCTGGACGACAGCTACGTGGAGCGGCGCAGGGCACCCCTCTACTTCCAGACGCTGAGCACGGAGAGTAGCATCTACTTCGGGGCCCTGGTGCAGGCGGATAACATCCGCAGCCTGACCGACACGCGGGTCACGCAGGTGTTGAGCGGCTTCCAGGGCTGCCTGGACTCGGTGGTGCTCAATGACAACGAGCTCCCGCTGCAGAACAAGCGCAGCAGCTTCGCGGAGGTGGTGGGCCTGACCGAGCTGAAGCTGGGCTGCGTGCTCTACCCCGACGCCTGCCAGCGCAGCCCGTGCCAGCACGGGGGCAGCTGCGCCGGCCTGCCCTCCGGGGGTGAGTGCGCCTGCGCCCTGGGGCATGGGGCGGGAGGGGGGGCGGTGCATAAACCTGCAGGGGGCCTAGCTCTCACAGGCATAATCAACCCAAGTGCTCACCCAGAGAGCAGTATTCACCCAAGATGCTGGCCAAGCTGCTTAATCCCCTTTAGGAAAGTCGCAGAGCTTGACAATGACAGGAGGATCCAGTTTAGTCATCAGCTTGCAGCATCCCACAGGCGCAGTGCGGTGAGCACGCGAGCCCAGAGATGCCATCGCTGCCGCTCCTTCCTCTGTCCACCCCACACCCTTCCAGGCTTCAGCAGCTTGGAGGAATAAGACCTCCTTTTAAGTATTTGCCCTCTTGAGGCACCTGCATGTCACTGCAGAATGACTGGTAGCACTCTGAGTTACAATGTCCACGCGCAATCCTTTCCCATGTAGACATATAACTTTACTGGAAGCTAAAGGGGGAGGTGTGAGTGAACCCACTGCCCCAAGAATAGAAATATAGTGGAGATGCTTTGGAGCGTGCTTTTGAAACATATGTATTAAATAAGTTTAGTGACCACTCTATAAAGGAGTAGAAAGTCAAGAATAAGGAGAGGGCAATTTACATGAAATCACAGGACAGATAAAGCCAGTGAGGGCATGATGCTTTACCCTACTATTTTTTCCCCCAAAGATACATCATGAAGAAGAAAGAACAGGGTAGTCCAAGGGGGGAAAAAAGGATTTATAGAGGGTTTGTATTGTTTGAGAGAAAAGCTGAGATTTTTTAAGTCCTGGGAGTGTGAAGATAAAAGAATCCCTGACTTTACCCAGATGCAGTGTGTGTTAATGTAAACTAGGTCAGGCGCTCTCCTAGCTGAAGGCGTTGCCACCTCCCAACAGCCCAGCCACTGATTCCACTTCAGCCCCTTTGCAGAGTCTCTCAGTGGTGGTGTGATTAGCAAATTTAAACCTTCCTCACAAATCACTTAAAAATTCTGCTGTGCGCATTACCATCTAATGTTCGTGAAACCCAACTCCAAATTTAGAGTCCATTTTATTATTAGAATGTTATAAACTGTCCATGAAATGATGCACTGCCAAAATACAGACAACAAAGTTATTTAGACTTGCATATGTTACTGCCACAATGAGGGCCAAGTGCCCTGGGGGGAAATTTCTGCCTTCTCGATTTAAGAAATCTATTTGCTGTTTTTACTGTCTCAGCAGTATATGTAAATAAAGGGTTGTTATGGTGCCATAATTCCCGAATGATGGCCAGTAACTATACTTCAGTGGTTCTATAAACCAGCCCATTATGACAAGTCATGGCCAGTTTTCCAGCAGGCAAAACAATTCTGCTAGTGTGAGCCATCTACGATATATAAAAGGAGCATATAATTAAATTGGGTTGAAATAGAACACCACTCCATGTCAAATGCTGGGTACACAGCCACAATTGTAACATACTTTTAACGATGGCAGGACGTTGTTTTTGCTGGCAAAGCTATGGGCTTCCACAATGGGTTATCTTTAAAATAATAATAATAATCACTGTATTAAGGGAAAAGACTGAAATCTTGCTCTTCAGTGTGCATTTTAATTTTTTTTAAAAAATTGCCATGAAATACTTGAGTTTCATATTTAGTGCAAGTATATTAATTAAATGACTATGACCCATATCAGAAACAGCAATTTTCCTCTATTTTTTAATCTCATGTGGTCTAACTAAATTTCAGCACTGAAGACCCACCTGCCATATACTTTTCATATGGCCTAAGGAACTTGCTTTCCCCTCCCTAGAGGCCCAACCTTGCCTACAGAGCATGCTGTCTCCTATTCCTCCTTGTCCCCCTGCTCCCCACTTCCCCCTATGATTGGCTTTGGGATTGGGTTTCCAAAACAGGTACTCTTTCTTCCAAAGCGATAGAGCCTCTTATCAGTTCAAGTCTCCCCTTTGTACCTGGGGGCTTATGTTTTCCTAAAATGAAGAAAGTGTCTTTCCTCACCTCCATCTACACAACTCCCTTCTCCAAGCCTACTACTTCTATTAGTTGAGGGGGCCCAATGATCCTTATCTCAGCAGCCCCAGGGCATAGTCCAGATGGGGAAATCTGGGACTCTCATACACAGCAGTATTGAGACCAGACCCAGCAAACTCCTCGCCACTCACCGGGAAATCCAAGAAGAGGGCTTCTCTTGCTTCCCTGGGGAGTCAAAGGCACAGGATTCCTCTTCTAATGGGTGAGGAGGTACCTACCTACTTCCTGGCTATCGGAATGAAGCCTTGGCTTCTAAGAAAAGAGAAGAGAATCCATTTTCTTGCCCCCATTATCTGTTCATATCAGAATTTTTGCTAGGTCCTTGTATTCTATCTGCAAATTCCCTAAATTGGTGCCAAATAGTAGGGAGAAAAAGGCAAGAAAAGAAAGAACTAACAATTTGGCCTTTAACTCATATCTGTGAAACTATGTAGCTAATGATAAGGTTCTTTAAACTAAAGGAAAAATCATCTTAGTTGTGAGTGATGGTTTAAAAAGAACAGTAAGACTGAGTCATTAATGAAAGAATATTCATGCCTTGAAGAGTTCCCTCTGGCTGCTAGGGATGTCTAATCACAGGGAGAAAGTCTTGCTTCCCCAAATCAAAGGCTTGGATGCCTGCAGTATTCAAAGAGGAAATTTGGGCTAGAGAAAGTAGAGTGAGGTGCTTAAAAATGTGACTCCATGCACGTGAGAATGTTGATAACGAAAGTTAATTGTTTGAAACTGTTACTGGAACCCCGTGCTGTACGTTGCTCTAAAATTCCAGGACACATATCTTAGCATAATCATCCCCTTGACCACTACAGAATGCTGGAGTATTACTGATTGGCTCTCCTGGTGACAGACTCCACTCTCAAACTGTAGCTATCCTAGCACATTGTTCCAGAACATTCAGAGTTTTTAAAGCAGGCAACCTGCAGGAAGAAGCATTTTCTATCAGAGAAGCAGCATTCTGTTCCAGCCACCTCCAAACCAATCAAACCCTTGGCATGAAGGGCAAGGAAGCCACGTCTGCTAGTGTGGAATGACACAGTCAGCAGGTTTGACCAGTGTTATAAGTCTGGCTGTCCCAGGAGCAAGCCATGGGAACCCCAGGGGAGTCAGAGCCCAGAACACTGACTTGTAATAAGAGTGCAAATATGATTCTGTAAATCAGCCACAGAAGGAAGGCTCTCTCTTGGTAAAGCCTTAAAATTATATGTATTTCATAAACATGAACTGGAAATAGCAACCACCATGAATAAGAAATGGCCTGGTCCCATTCTGACCCCTGCATTTCCAAGCCCAGTGGGTAGACATCTGCCCAGTGAGCACCCACAATCTGAATAAGGAGCCCTCAATCCCATGCCTTATCCTGCTCAGCTCAAGCCCATTACCGGAAACCCTAGTTGAGGCTAAGCTATAATTTGGTGAAGCAGTGCAGCAAGCCAGGCCAGAAATAGTCATGCAGACAGCTTTGCATGAAACTGGAAACCTAAGTCCTAAAGTGAAAAGTTAGTAAATATTTAAATGTAAGAGCTACTGTTTGTTGGACCTACTGTGTGCTTGGTGATAGTGTTTACTTTGCAGGTACTTATGCACCATGACACTTAATTCTCACAACAATACTCTAGGATCAGTACTATTCTTTCCTCCTCCCACCTCTCACTTTACAGATAAAGAAACAGGCCAGAGAGGTTAAGTAACTAGCCCAGCATGACACAGCTAGTAAAGTGGAGAAGTCAAGATTTGGTCCAGGTCTGTGGAACCCCCCAGCCTATGCTCTTCACCCCTGTTACTCAAAGTGTGTTCCAGGGACCAGCAGCATCAGCATCACTGGAAATGTTAGAAATGCAGCATCTCAGATCCCACCCCAAACTCACTGAATCAGAATCTGTATTTTAACAAGATCCCTAGGTGATCTACTGATTTCTGTCTCTCTCTCTGAACTGCCCTAAAACCTGGGTAGACTTCTGGTTCTTTTTTGTTTTCTCAAATAGTATACAGTGGTTCTCAAACTCTAAGGTGCATCGCATCACCTGAGGACCTTATTAAAATGAGACCTTGTTACAGAAGAGTCTTTTGGTTGTTGAGGGAAAAGGAAAATTTATTTACTTGTCTCCATCATTTCTGTCCATATCAGAGGAAACTTGCGCTAGGTCACTGAATTGGCAAATTCCTGAACTTACTACCAAGAAAATTTCTCAGTGAAAAGTTTGGGGGGAAAAAAAAGAAGCAAACCTACAAATCAGAATCTCAGCATCTACAAAGGTGGAATTCAGGCATCTCTGTCTTTAACAAGCCTCTAAGGTAGTTTTATGCACATGAGTCTGAGAACCACTGACATTGGGGAATCCCAGTAAACTCTGTATTTGCAGGAATATGAGTCAGTGAATTCCAGGAGAGGTAAACAGACATAGGACATTCAGGAACTGAATGTCAGATGCATGGCCTGCATTTTTCATAATTGTTTTAATATAAAGATTGAACTTTGTTCCCCAAATAGTCAGGAGTTTGGGGTCACCCTGAGCTCCTCTTCAAAGATAAATATAGTGTCTACCTACTCCCTCTAGGCTAGTTGCATGAAATCACAAGTTCTGGGATGTTGCAAATAGTTCGGCATAGAAGTGTTTTCAGCAACTAAGTTACCCATGCTTCTTTGCGTGACTGTTTTGCTGAGCATTTTGTGTCCTTAACTTGTAAGAGTCTAGCTAAATTCAGTCTGTCAAACTTTACTTAAGTGCCTGATTTGTGCCGAGCTCTGTGTTAAATTCTGGGGCCCCATTGCTGTCTCTGTGACCAATGGATTCCCCTTGTGTGGCCTCCCTCCCCTCACAGCTGGCTTAAAGGAATTAAACAGGGCTCCCTGCATGTGCTCAGCCCACTGGCCCACTGAGCACAGGGGGACAGAGCAGGGAGAAGCCAGGCTCCCAGTGAATATACTATGGACCTAATTTGACTGAGCTTTGCAGATTATGGGGGGAAAAAATTTTTTTTCTAGATG